AATATGCACTAATTAAGGTTAATTATGAACTGTTAGGTACAGGACTGCATCAATCCCACATTTAGCCACCAAAGTTTTATAACAATTTATCTTAGATGAGGGAAAGGACTTAGCTTCAAGAGCAGTCCTCCAAGATTTCTACATGGACAGTCGCCTTTCTGGTTCTTCAGAATTCAACCAGTTACAAAAACTTATGCTAGAATTTAAGCCTTTTCTCTAAAGAGGAGGAATAACTTTGCACAAGTGGTGCAGTAACAAGGCACCAACCACTGAACTGCAAGAGTTCAAGCTTTACTGAAATTCTGAAGAAATAATAGTTAAAATGTTAGGAAAGTTTTGGAATAGTTTAAGCGATTCCTTTAGATATAAGGCAAACATAAGCGCTAATCCTTAACTTCACCCAAAGAGATGTACTATCTCAAATAGCATGCATCTATGATCTGCTCGAACTCTTGAGTCCAGTTATTGTTAAAGCAAAGATCTTTATGCAATAGTTATGGTTGCTTAAGCTAGATAGGAACAAAACGCTACCTCCAAATATTGTCAAACAATGGGAAAATTTCATTAGAACACTATCAGATTTGAAATATATTCATGTGCCAAGATGTTTTTTAAAAACTGATATCAAGTTGGTAGTACTTCAAGGTTTCTCAGACACATCTTCAAAGGCTTAAGGTGCAGTGACATACATCCAAACTATGTCCAGCACCGGTGAAGTAAACACTACACTTCTCTCCAGCAAATTATGTGTTACCCATACAAAATTCATTGCAATTCCAGTTCTAGAGCTTTCCGCTCACCTTCTTCGCACAAAACTAATGGAAAAGGTTCTAACAGCTTCAAACAGACTCATTGAAATTGAACTCTGATTCTGCAATAGCCCTAGCATGGATCAAGACCCCTTCAAATTTACTTAAGACATTTGTAGGCAGCCAAGAGCCTCCTAGGGAACCCAATTTCGGTGCCCTTTTGGGAGGTACATGTAAAGGCCTTCAAGTACCATCTAAAGAGAGTGGTAGGCTCCATTAAGCTAACTCTGGAGGAGTTTCTGACAATAATAGTTCAAATCAAGGGCATTCTCAATTCACGGCCACTCTCATCCTTATCTACTGATACAGATAATTTTCAAGGCGTTAACTCTTGGATATTTTCTGATGGGGAAACCAATAAATGATATCCTAGAACCAAATTTTTAACTGACAAAAGAGATAATCTTCTAATCAGGTGGCTGAGGAATAAAAAATTAGTTCAATGGTAAAACAGCTACCTAAATGGGTGCTTAAAGGCCAAATATAACACCTGACATGCTAATCTTATTAAAGGACTCTCAACTTCCCATCTGTAATTGGTCTTTGGCTCTAATTATTAAGGTGATTCTAGGCCCTGATGGAAGTGTCAGAGTTGTAGACGTACGCACACCAAAGGGTGTTTTCAGAAGACCAATTTCAAAAATCTGTATTTTACCTATTATGGATAACGATATTTCTTACTGTTGGATAATTTATTTTGTTTTTATTGAATTATTAATTGGTACATTTGTTGTAAGTTGTGTCATTATGATTTTGTATTCATATTTTTTTCTTTAATTTTGAAATAATGTAATATTTCAATGCCAGGCAGGATGTTCCATAATTGTGACATTATCGTTTGGCAGACAGAATGCTTTCCCGCTTCTTTTTTGTTACTATAGATACAGCAGAATTTATTAATTTAATTTGTTAGATCTGGCAATATGAAAATGATGTAAAAGTTTAGTTTTTGATAATTGGCAATTCTCATATTCCACTATGCAAAGAATTCTTCCTTATAGAATGTACTCACTGTAATAACTGTTTCTATTCTATTTAAGAATAAAAATGAAACAATATCGCTAATAAATGCATCTTGTTTCTGAATACGCTAACTACGCACAATATTGTAACCTTCTTTATGGGGACCACTCCTTACTGTTTTGGACATGACAATGATATTTTCATTGTATCTGAAATATGCAACTGTGCCATATCCCTTTTGGCTACTAAAAACAGTACAGTTGAATATCCAACACACTATTTTTTTACTAGATTGTTAAAATAATGTCTTGGGATCTCAACATTTTTAAATTTAGCAATCTCATTATATCCCAGTCTTTAAATCATTTCTACAATTTCTGGTCAAGTGGTGCATCCTACTAGTATCCCCTTTGCCAGCATTCTATCAACACTCTAGTTATAACATCTTCCACTACCAGGATTTGGCGATTGGGTCCTTTAAAAGGGGGAGTATATAAGGTATTTACCCTGCCTTCTTAGCATCCCTTTGTGGTGTAATGTCTACTCGGCGCATGTTCAGAGGTCCGTGGTTCGAGTCCTGGCAAGGGCATTGCTAAGTTTTCATCTCTTTGCTTAAAAAATACTCGATGTCTACAATACTTTCTGCTGTATCTATAGTAGAAGAATTAGAAGTCTCATTTAATTTAACACTTTTACATTTCTAAATTAATCTTCGATTCGCACAACGCAATTTTATTTTAATATTCCAAGTATCAAGTATTTCTATTTCATATTATAATGGCTGATTCACTTTCAATGTTTAATTTAAATATATCACTTTCATTTAGGATATGTCACCTTCTAATAAATCAAATTTAATACTGTCTGATTTCATTTCCTTTTCCAGTTTAGTGATCAGTCTCTTACCTGACACTCCTAGCATTCCACGCTTTTTTAGTGCTTTTCATTTATCTCTCTTAATAATCAATTTAATTAATTAATTTAATCAATTTAATTGATCAACAATAAATACTTAAATCATAATCTATCTAAAGTCCACTAGTAATCTCAGAACTTCGGCACCATTTTGTTTTTTCCATGGTTGTAATTTTTTTATTTACATAATTTTATCTTCAACACTGAATGATATTTGGTAAGAAACCTTTTTTGCTCACGTTTTTTTCAAGAAGTCTACAAGACATTTTTTGAAGAAGAATTTGCTATTTTATAACATGCAAAATCTTTATTTGCAGCTATTTGCAATTTGTCTGCTTTACATCAAAACTTTCCTCTTTTTTCCCCTCCCGTCGTTGCCATTCCATCACAAACAAAAATCTGCAATGCGGTGAGAAAAACAATACACATAAAATGAGGAAGCTGCTTCCTCTCATACCCAGCCACATGAAACTGCAACATGGGCTGAAGACCATTTCCAAACAATTCTTACAATTCAATTAACTGCACAATAAAGCTTTCACAAAGGAATTTTCTAACAGAAACTGGCATTATAACATTGCATATAGGAAAAATCATGAACATTTCCTCAAGTCAATCCAATCAGTTGGCAAGAGCTAAACTGAGACAAAATTCCACTGTTCCATGATCTTTCTCCCTTAGTCATTGATGGGCACATCAAATCTTGGACGTAATAGTTTAAAATCTCAATGTTAAAGTACAAGTTTTCCAGACATAGTCTCAATCTCTGGTCAGTTGCGTTTGAAAGGATCTGCTTATGGAAAGAAAATCTTAGGTTTCAATTCAATCTGGATCAGGTTCTTACAACTTAATTTTAAAAGCCAAATAACATTCATTTGCAGAAAACGTAATTTTACATTATCTTTTAAAAAACACAAAACTGCAAAAGGAAAATGATCTTTTTGAATGTGTGCACTACAATTCTTGATAAAATTCGACTATGATACTTAATTATTTTAAATTTCTTTCTTAACCATGATATGGCAAACATTTTACATTTAAATACACTTGATGAAGGTGTAAGAAACTGATTATTTACTTCATCATGATTACTGATTATTATAAAAAATTCAGAATGAAAAAAATAGATTAAGTAAACTAATTACATCACCCCCATAAGGTAATTCAGCTAGTGACATTTCCATATTCTCATGATTCAAGACACAAAATTATTAAAATTATTATATATATCTCCTCTTGGACATATGAGAAAAAAATACTAAATGTGTAGCTTCAAAAAAGAGTGGAGTTAGCAACAACTCTTTTGGTGATGTCATGCCACATACCTCCTCTACCTTAACTGATCATGCCAGTCGGGAGTACTGCATCACTGAGTGAACCATTTTTTCAACCAGACATTTTTCCAGCAGAATGCAGTGCAAAACCCGAACAGTGAATAAACATCAAGTTTCTTGTGAAACTTAAATCGGTCATGGAGTAAACATTTCAAATGTTAACTGAGGCTTGTCTCGTGCATGTGTGTCTGAATGGCACAAGTGATTTTCATGGGAAGGGACAGTGTGGAAGATGATGAACAAGCTAGGGGCCTCCAACACGTTCATCATGATTGAATGAGTTCCCAGTGGTCAGACTGTTAATCAACACTACTACATTGAAATACTAAAAAGACTTAAATAGGGGAAAAGGCCTCAGTGGGGAGTGATAGATGACTGTTGTACCAGGACAATGCACCCACTCTGCCCTATCTGTCGAGCAGTTTCTCACCAGCAAAAACATTACTGTGATGAGGCATCCTCCTTATTCACCTGATTTGGCTCCACGCAACTTTTTTTTTTATTTCCTAAAGTTAAATCTTGCTTAAAAGGAACTCATTTTACCACAGAAGTTCAAGCAAAAACAGAGAATCTCCTGAAGGGCCTTCCAGAAACCTCATTCCAGAGCTGTTATCAGCTAAGGCAGCACCAAATCCAGAAGTGTGTGAATGCTGAAGGGGACTACTTTGAGGGTGATAATGGCACGGAGAACTGAATCTGTAAATACAATGATTTACTGGACTAGTCTTTTTTTTTTTTTTTTTCTTTTTGTGTGTGTGTGTGTATCACACCTTGTATTTATAAGCATATAAATTATGAATGAATTTAGATTAACATCCCATATTCAAAATACTGCTTTATGTGCATCCATTTATTACCAAACTTAGAATGAGCAATGCAAATACATCAGGCTTCAACTGTTTTAGATAATGGCTACTCAAACTAAATGACCAGAAATTATGAAAGAATAATGATATATTTAAGGCTGTTTCTTACATACTGTTTATTATAAAACTCCTTCCAAAATATAAACATCGAACAGAATTGATGACTTCATCAGTTGACGATTCCCTCTCAAATTCTAAGGAATGGAGTTCTGGAGAAGGTGAGCCAGCAACTGGGGCCTCTGGACTAGATGCAACACTTTCCCTCTTGGTAGTGCTTGCCTTAGAACTACAAAAGTACAATTTATAATATAGTTCTGTTGACATTTATATTATCAGATTCATTATGAATAGTCAAGCAAATTTGAATATATTCACTTTACCATAAGATTAAAAAGAAACAGCAAAAAGACCAAATTTTGAGAAGCTGAATTAAAAGTACTGTCCCTTTTAACGCAGCCTCCTTTTCTGCATTTGTATACTAATTCTAGTGTTTGCTGGAGAATTAGAATGCTTCTACAGAAGTTTTTATACAATTAAAATGGAAATCCTCTGGAATAAAATAATTTTATACTGCAAAGAAGTAACAGGTCTCATAAAAGAGAGTCCTTAAGTTCAAAAGGCAAAAACGGATGAAACTGTCAAATGGTGCTAATATCTATTTGATACAAACAGTACTGTATCTTCAGACAGTTAATGCACCATTTTGCCATATGTTTTGAAGCATTGCAGAAAGGAAGTTTATTGCAAAAGATCTCAGAAAGTTTTCACATGGGAATTAAGAATTAGCTGTTAAACTACATGGACATCAAATCACAATGCTCTAAAGACACATCAGTTCTGACAGAATTAAAATTCACAGCGCTCCCTCCATAGCATCAATAATGGCTAAATACTCTAATTAAGTAACTGCATAACTTTGCTCATAAGACCTTTATTTTCTATAACGAAAAGCAATTGGATGTAGGTTACCATCTGGGTGCTCTTGTCTCTCGAAACTGCATCAACAGCTTCTTTAGATGCATCTACAAATACATGAGAAGGATATCTTGGATTAAATAAAATTGGAATGTATTGAAATTAATTTTTTTTTTCTTTCAAATTTTGAAAAGCTATTTGACATTTAATAGTTCATTTTTATAGGGAAAATTTAATTTAATAGTTCATTTTTATAGGGAAAAATTACTTTTTTGAGTAAATTTGTTAAAGGGGCTCTAATTTTTGCACAATTTTGAATAAATTTATGGTATATACAGTACAAAGTCTGTAATCCAGATGTCCACTATCTGTAATTATCTATAATCCAGACCTCAAAGTCACAAACGTTTTTTTTTGTATGCTTTACGCATGTGTGTTGTAAAGATGTGTCTCCAGATACGTTAAAAAATGTTTGGCATAATTTATGGCCAGCTAGCATATTTCATGGGGAGGACGACGAAGATGATAGCCGCAAATTTGAAGGTTTTCGGACATCACAAACTAAAGCTGAAATTTTCCAGTTATTGGATTTTGTAAAGAAATGTGGAGAAGCGGTAATAAATGAAGATGATATAACAGAAGTTTTCCATTGCAACGACAATGCCCCAATCATCTATTAATTAACAGACGGCGAAATCTGTAGTATGGTTCTAGATCCAGAAAATACCGCTTACAATAGTGAATAAAGTGACAGAGAGGTTATTGCAAATGAAAAAAATTCGATTGACAAGTTAATGGGTATTCTCGACACAGCAATTACCGGACTTGAACAGTGGAACTTTGTAAATGAACAAGAAATTATGTCTGTTTATAGAATTAAAGAGAAAGTATTAGCACAAAAAACAAAGCAAGTTAAACAACTTACATTGAAAGAAATGTTTAATAAAGTAAACAAACAAATATTAAGTTTTTTTTTTTTGTAAATTTTGATACCTTTTAGATCATAATTGCTCTTTATTTCATAAATTACGGTTTCATATATTTTTAATTGTATAATTTCTGCATGCCATCTTACCAGATTTAAATTGATGATCTAACCCCTAATCCGGAATCGCTGAAGTCCCCACGAGTCCGGATTACAGACTTTGTAATGTATTTATATTTTCTAAAAATCTTTGTAATTCTTTAACATTTTTATGGCGTCGTAATTTTTTAATAACTTCAATATTTTCATTACTAGGCTTTTTCCTGCTTGAACTTAATATCCTAGAAAATTTATCTTTTCTTTAGCAAAATTACACTTAGATAGTTTTAATTTTATATTCTCATTTTCGCATATGCCAAATATTATCTTAAGATGTTCATCAAAATTTGGGAAAATACTATAATATCATCAAAATACTTTAAGGCAAACTGAATCTGATATTTGTATAAAATTTGTTGAAGAGCTCTTTGGAAAAGAGCCAGGAAATATCCAACTCTCCATTGGGGTTTTCGTCACAAGTAAATCCTGCCAGCTTGTATTTATATGTGACATTTGGACTTGAAGAAAGAAGTTGCAACGGATTGGTGTTGGAGAGGCTTTACCGTGCAGTTAAAAAGATGGATGCATAAACCAAAAACTTCCAGATGTGGCCTTTTAGAAACATAATTTTACTTCTTGATAATGCACATTAAATCAGTTTTTTGTAGACAAGATAGTTTTAGAATATAGCTAGCAACGGATTTTTGATAAACTGAGCATAGTGGCACAGAGGTTTTGCATGGCAGGAGAAGTTAAGAAGAATGATGCAATATCTCAAGCAGTATTTATACTAGGCAGGTGCATATGTACAGCTAAGCTGTGTTTGGCTAATTTTAGGTTTTAGTTCTCTTTGCAAGCAGTGTTAAGTAATTTGAAAAGATCTCAAATTCAGGAGAAAAGATAAACTTAGGGGGAGAACACCAAATTTAGAATAGTCAATTTTGAGGCTTCCAATTATTTCTTAGTGCAGCCATCGTGCTTTAAGTTTCTCTACCTGTCTATACACATATACACCGATGAGCCAAAATATTAAAATCATCTCCACATTTTAAACTGAACTTGTCTGGATGATGTGAAGGGCACGTGATTAAGTTGGAATGGTACAGCAAAATCAGCATCAGGCAGTGGCTCAGCTGACAGCCCAATACAGTGTAGTTCCAAGTGCAAGTGTTTCGGAACACACAGTTCAGCAGACACTGTTAGATATGGGACTGTGTACAGGGTTCGTACACATTTCTGCACATGAAAATTAAGTACTTTTAAGGACTGTTAGTGAAAAAATTAAGGACCTATGAGTAAAAAGGAACTGAATAAATTCAATTAAAAATATGATCTATGCCTGAATTTCACTTTTGTGATACCATCCTAAAAATAAAATAGATCTCTAAGCAGTATGCATTATTACTAAACATGAATTAATTAACATAATTATTAATAAGTTTGAGAATAAAATAAACTTTATGCAATTTATCAAATAGCATTAAATATTTTACACTTACAACAGATGGACATATTTGAAAGAAGAAAAGTGACATTTACGTTTTACCCAGAGTTAGCTTTATGTTGATTTTTTTAAATGTCTAATTTTGTCACGTACTTGGTCAGTCTAGAGGTCGAGTAAATAGCAGGTAGATTTTATGTCAAATGGCATAAGTTAAAATGAGAAGTAAGATCATAATCAGAATGATTCAGAACAAAAGACTGAATGTTGTTACTGCTGCTGCTTGTCTAGAGAGAGAGACATTGCTCATTAGAACAAACTGAAAACCTAAAAGGCTGATGTAGGCAGGTGTTCCTGATGTAGGTTCGCAAGTGTTGAAAGTTAGTCGGGCTCTGTTTGATGCAGTTAGTGTCGTAGCTTCGTGTAGAGTTTCAGGGGTTGTAACCCAGTTAATATACTTTAAGGTTCCAATAAGCCATTAAAGAACCAGAGATGATAAGTTGTTTTGTATTATTTTAAGTCTCACTAGATGCAAAGAATAAGTTTTACTTGAATTTTTACGTTTTTGTGTTTTATCTTGTGACCACAGTGAGTATTAATGAAAGGCAATAACTCGCTTTAATACATAGAGATAATTTTTAAGGGTAAGCAGTTAGTTATAAATAATTAATTAGGTAATTAGATAACCTTAGTCATTATGGATTTACATGGCCACAATTAAATTTTATTTTTTAACAATATTTGTTAAAAAAGCCCTATTAAAATCAAAATCTAATCAAATTTCACAGTTTAAAATGCATGTAATTTATAACATTGATTCTTAAACGATATTAGGATAATTACACATTAAAAGCTACAAAACATTTATGTTTTGTAACAACACTCAACAAAATATTTATCCGTCATTTTAATTTGAAGCCTTCCCAAACACTTTGGCTAGTTTATATAGATTTCCTTCTCTTTAAGCATCTTTTCTAACAGTTAAAGATTTGTCTCAAAATGCTAACCAATGCTCTCGCTAGTTTCTGCATCAACCTAACTGCTTTATCTCCTTCAACCTAACTGCTTTATCTCCTAACTTGTCAACCTCTCTACAATGTACATATGAGGGTTTACTTGATCTGGTAAAAGTTAAATAGTCGAAAACACAACTAATGTGAAGCAAACTATCGCTATGTCTGAAAATAACAAATATCAGACAAAGGTTTAAATAAGCGTCTTATATAAAAAGAACTTAAAATACAAAGGCATGTTCTTATGCTAACAAATTTTATTTACAGCTCACGGTGACGTAACTAAAAAAGAACAGTCAAATTCAAACTAAAAGTGTGAACTAGTGGTCAAAGATTATACAATTTAATTTAAATTTAATCTGGCTCAGTAACTCTATCATATGAGGAAATAGAAATGGGAAATTATAGTAAAGGCTGAAATCATAAACAATTGGGTAATTTACATAATAATAACTGCACATTTTCTTTGAAGAATAATTTTCTTTGTCTTTATTACTTTCTTTCTTCAACCCGTTTCCTTTTCATTTTAGAATTTTTGGATTTAATTAAAGATTTCCGTTATTCTAAAAAACAAGAAATGCATTTGGAATGCATAGAAAACGGCTAATTTTATTTCTTTAGTAATATAAACATTCAGAAGAAATACATATGGTAAAGGCCGGTTACAGAGCCACTGTGGCAGAATTTTTAGAATTTAGTGACACACCGAACAACAAAATCTGGAAATGACAAAACTTTTAGAATTTAAAGCAGGCACTGGAAGCAGAATTTAGGCTCCACGGAGATTGCATCAGGTGGGAAAATGCCTAGTGCCAGCTCTGTGTATGATACATTAAAACATATTAGATGAATCTTTTAAATTGTAAGTTTTCAATTTCTTTATTAATAAAAAA